TGCCTCTCTGGGCCCATTTCCTCTCGTGACCTGGTCTTGGAAGTGGCACCGCGCCGCCCGCCCTCCTGCTGCAGGGAGCAGGCTCACGGCCACCGCGTCCGAGGTCCGCCTCTCTCTGCAGAGATCCGGGCTCCGGAGACAGAGGGACGAGGACCGTCACCCTGGGGACACCTCTGCGGCCTCAGAATTGACTTCTAGCTTGAGGCTCAGAACATACCTGCCACATGAAAGAGGAGCAGCCAGCGTATGTTGGGCGCTTACTGCGTACAACCGCCTTGCTGTGTACTTTACGTTCCTAGCCTCGTTTCATCCTCAGGTTAAGAAAAATTATCTAAAACTTGGAAAGGAGCAAAAATATCCTTGCATTGCATGCCCCTTCTTGGGATGGGGTTTTGCTTTGTCACCCAGGCTGGAGTGCCGTGGTGTCATCATAGCTCACAGCAGCCTCCAACTCCTGGGCTCCAGTGATCCTCCCTCCCACCTCAGCCTCCTTAGGAGCTGGGACTACAGGGATGCGTCACCACACCCAGCTAATTTTGCTATTTTTAGTAGAGATGGGGGTCTCACTCTTGCTCAGTCTTGTCTCGAATTTCTGGCCTCCATCGATCCTCCTGCGTCAAGCTCCCAGAGTGCTGGGAGGTGCGAGCCTCTGCGCCAGACCCTGTTGCTCCCTCACTGCCCCCTTTCAGTGTCATAGACTGTGGTCCCTGTGCCTGGGCACTGTGGACACTGGGGCCAGATCACTCTCCGGTCCACCGTCCTGGGCTCAGCACCCCCAGCCTCCACCCATCCCACGCCAGGAGCACCCCCAAGCCCTGTTATGACAACCACAGATGTCCCCAGAGTTCACCCAGGGTCCCCTGAGGGCAGAAGGACCCGGAAGAGAACAGTCCTGGCAGGTGCTTTGTGGACCTGCTCTTCCTCTTGCCCTGGCTCCGAGGGAGAGAAGGTGACCGGAAGGACTCCGTCCCCAGGCCGCGGTGGCTGCTCTTGCTCACCTGCACAACGCTTTCCTCTTCTCCGCGACTGCCAGGCTCCAGCCTGGTCCTGCCGCCTGGTCCTCGGTAAACACTCGGATAAACCTGTGCCGGGTGGTGGCTGGATGCCATGAATGTTCTGGAAACTCTATTTTGCCATCACCCAAAGCCCAGAGGAGAGTGTACACTTAGCCCTGTAAGGCTGGTGGCGGCCCCTCCCTTCCCTAGATCAAAAAAGAAAAGGCTCATGAGAGCAGACCCGCCAAGGACAAAACTGCCAGGCCCCGCTGAGAGGATCCACACCCAGATGTCCACCTGGGTAAGAACGTGTCGGCTCTTGGATTCCACAAATACCTCCAGCCTCTCCTAAAATCCCCAGCTCTTCCCACCAAAAGTCCCTAGCCAGGCCCAAAGGGTATAAAAGGCCTCAGCCCCTTCAAGCAGCGGCGACTTCTGGGCCCCCCCACTCTTGGGGCCCCAGAACCTGGTCCACCAGAGTATAATAAAGCCACATGGTTTGGCCCCCACTCTTTCTCTCTTTCTTTTCTTTTCACCACCACCGAAAACCCTTACAAGCACCTCATCTTACACATGGGGAAACTGAGGCTGGGGGAGCCCACCCAGGGTCCTTGGTGGGGAGTGTGAGGAGCCAGTCGTCTCCCTGATTTGAGCAGCGAGGAGGGAGCTCTCCGTGGCTCGGCTGGGAGCCAGGCAGGAGGCAGGGGGGGCGAGCAGCCTTCGGGAGCTGGGCCACAGGCAAAGGGTGGCCTTATCCGGGGGGCTTTGGGATGATGGGGGCAAGAGAGGGGAGCCTAGGGGAGTCATGTGTCACTGTGGCAATGTGGGCACCCCCAGTGGGGGAGGGGCTCTGCAGCCTGGGGGCCTGGGGTGAAGCAGGCTGAAAGGAGCAGGGGCACAGTGCACACAGAGGCCCCCACTCCGACGCCCACTGCACGCGCGGGCGTCCCAAGGCCACCCCCTGCTCTGATGACCTGCCGGGACAGCTGGGACCCAGAAAGAGCGCATGACTCCCAGGGAGGCAGGCAGCCGGGAGGCTCAGGCCAGCTCTGGTGTCCAGACCGCCAGTCGGGCCTCCCTCACACAGGCGTGATTGGCGACTGATTGCCTCGGGGCTGTCTCAGTCGGGGTGGCTGCCCCAAGTCACACAGTGGTCTCGCCGGGAGCTGGGGCCTGGTCAGAGCCTGTCTGCGGGGCAGAGAGCCCTCCACGCCCGCAGCCGTCCAGCCACCCCCACCGGCAGGCCGGAGGATTCAGGATGCCAGAGAGGAAACGGAGTCTCACAGAGAAGGATTCGCACCCAGGGCTGGCAGAGCACAGCTCCACCCACGTGTGGAGCCACGGGCAGTCCTGTGACCCAAGACAGGGCCATTTGCCCCCTGTGCCTCACTTTCCCCAGCTGAGAATGGGGCTCCGCAGTGCCTCGGTGAGGATCAGTGTGTTGTCCCACAGGCCACCCTGTACAGGCCTAACAAACAGGCCCGCGTTGTGTGTGCAGTGTCACACGTGGCCCTCGGGGATGGCGGGCCGCACCCGCATCGCACAGTACCGTGAGCTTTGGCCGGGAGCTGGGGGCCGGGAGCGGGGAGGGGAGGGACCAGGACCTGCTGGGGACGGGGCATAAGCCTCTCTGCTCCCTCCTGCTCCTTTTATTGAAGTCATTTTTCTTCTCCTGCCTCCACAAAGGCGACCTGAGAAGAAAACAAAAGCTTAATTGAATCCCACATGGGGGGTGGGGTGGCTCAGAGGAGACCTTGCTCTAGCTGGGAAGAGGGGGTGGAGGTGAGGGCGGGCGGGGGTGGGGGCTGGGGCGCCCCTCCCCAGGGGTCTGATGGCACTGATGGAATCGCATTGCTGCCCTCCCTCGAGTCATGGCGTCTGTCTGAGCCTGCCTGTCCAGCTCTACCTCGAGCCAGCCTCCAGCCTCCAGCCTCAGCCTGGAAGGAGCCTGAGACCACACAGCCAAGTGCAAAATCAGGCTTGGATCCCACCCTCCAGCGGTCCTCTCGTGTGGCAGGTAGGGTTTCAAAGCCCCAAGAATGAAGCAGCCGGGAGGCAGGGGCACCACAAAGGTGGGGGTCCCGGAAAGGGTGGGTGGGCTGCAGCGTGGGGGCCATAGGGAGCCACGGAAGGTTTCGGAGCAGGGAAGCAGGTGAATTCAGGGCCCAGGTTTGGGCAGGCAGGAAGGCTGAGGCTGTGACAAAGTAAGATGGAGGCCCAGGGTCAGGGCTGGGCTCCAGGACCCCTTTCCCTTCACCCCTGGAACCCCCCTGCTGCCCCAGCGCCCCCCCTTCCCTTCCTTGGGCTTATCGCAGGAGCCATATGGCTCTCCTTGGTTAACTCCTGATGGTGGGCTCACTGCCTCTCTCTGGCCACCTTCCTGGCTCTGCGGGATGGACAAGCCCAGGCCTCAGGGCCTCCCTTCTCTGTTTGTCTTCCCACAATAAACCGGGGCGCCCTGGGCAGAGGTGCTCCTCCTCCCCCAGACTGGGGCGCCCTGGTCAGAGCTCTCCCTCTTCCTTCAGGCTAGAGACTCACTGCCCCAGTGTCCTTTGGCTGCCAATATATTTTTTTTTAAAAAAATCAAACTGGCTTGAGCAAAAAGGGACTTTATTGCCCACCCCCAACTGGTGAGTTGTTATGAACTTCAGGCACAGCTGGATCCAGGTGCCCACAATGTCACCAGGCATCTGGCTCCTCATCCCTTGGCTCTGCGGTTCCCGTGCTGGCTCCATTCTGAAAAGGGGGCATCGTCTTGTAATTTGCACTGTAGGTGCCCCTGCCTGTGGCCCTGGTTGCCGTGGCCTCCTGAGGGTGGGAGGGCTCCGGAAGACAGCCAGGCTGGGAGGAGAGAACGCTGGCACGTGCCCGCACCCCCTTCATTGCACAAGACCTGCTCGGGCCGAGCACTCTGTGGCAGCAGGATGCCGAGGGACCGACAGCAGCATGTGACAACAGCAAGGAACGTATGGGTGTCTGGCTTCGTCTGGGTGGGGCCGCCCTGAAGAAGGGGTGGTGGGCACCGTGGGCGCAGTGAGACACCGGGGGCGAGGTGTTCCCAGACAGGGACCAGCGTGGAGGGCGGAGGGAGGAGGGAATGGGGCCTTTGGGCATTTGGAGGACTCTGGGCAGCCACAGCCAGACACAGGCACACACGTGGGACACACAGGCACACGCAATCACGTGCACAGTTACATATGTATGCACAGGTCACACAGTTACACAGGTACACACATGTATGCACATCCACACGAACATGCAAATACATATAGTGCACAGACCTGGTAACACACACGGCTACACTCGTGTGCACGCAGGCACTCACAGGGTTACACATGCACTGTTACACACTCGCACGCGCATAATCACACTAACAAGCACACACTGCAAACACGCAGAGGCACACGGCTGCATGTGCGCACCTATCTGGCACACGCATGCATGCACACAGACCCACACTCGAGCACACATGCGGGCGCGCACAGGCAGCCCAGTGACGAGTGGCTGGTGGGGAGAGGCGAGAAGGCGCCCGGTTGCCTTGGCAACACATCCTGGGACCCGACCAGGCCTCGTTAGCGCGGCTCATCTGGCGGGCTGTCAGCGGGCGGGGGGCTGCGCAGACCCCAACTCTGCACAAAGGTTCCTGGAGCCCTGACAGTCTGGGCCCCGTGGGGACACGGGCAGAGAAAACAGCCCAGCCTGGGTCACGGCAGGGAGACAGGCCCAGTCCTGGGGGCCCATGGGGGACACGGTCCTGGCCGTGGAAGTTCATGAAGGAGGTTACCACAGCACCCGGCACCCAGACCTGCGAATCCACGCGAGCCGTGCTCATCACAGGGCCTGGGGTCTTGCCCGCCACCCCACCTCCGTCCCAAGCAAGAGGGACTAAGGGGTGAGAAAGGACTTTGCCCCCTTGAAGGCTCCCCACGTCCTCCCCAGAATCCACGGCAAAGGCAAACTCCTCTTGTTATTAAACAGCCAAGCAAGCAGACCTCCACCCCCGCGTTCCCGAAACACCTTTATTGCACTAAAAACAGCATTTACACAAACATGTGGGGGGTGTCTTAAAGATTTATCCACAGTCAACGTCAAACACAAAGATATCAAACAGTGCAGGGAATGTGAACCGCGGGACCCCCTGGGAGAGCCGGGCAGCGGTGACAGCGGTAACGCCATGCAGGGCCCTCTGTTCCCGCCTCCCCCAGCCTGACGCCCAAAGCCCTGGTCGCTCCCAGGGTCCAGAGAAAAGAGGGAGCCCCACGGTGCCAGGCACAGAGGGGGCCTCGTCGGAGGGCGCCTCCTTCTAGACCTCCGGGGGCGCAGGTGCGTCTCACCAGTCGTGCGGGGTCAGCTTCCTCCGGTCCTTCGGGATCAGCTCCTTCACCCTCCCCGGTGGGAGGCAGAAATCTACTCAGGAGGAACGCAGCATGACAAAGGGGGTGACAGCTGTGCCAGGAGGGACACCCCAGGACGCCACCACGGTGTGCCTGGCACATGGAGCCAGGCCGGCAGCCCAGGAGAGACACAGGGTCTGGGCTGGCTGAGCCCCTGCTTTGAATCGTAGCATTTCTGATTCATTCTGAGCTGGAAAACCCCCACAAAAATCATTCAGGGACCCACATAACCAACACAATTAAGCCCACGCACACACCCAGCAGCATGAAAAGCCACAAGCAGGGTCCCCCCAGCTGTCCTTTCCTGACCCCACCTGCCAGCACCCAAACCTAGTTACACACTCTGCGTCTGTCGCCGCAGCACTCCCAGCCACCCAGGGCGCCGGGCAGCAGCGCAGACGGGGAGGCCCTGGGTGGCAGCCCCAGGAGGGAGGGACAGATGGATGGGCAGTTTGGGCCACTCTCTGGACACCTCTGAGCGAGACCCTCAGTCAGGGTGGCTCCAGACGCGGCAGGGAGAGGGGCCAGGCAGGCTGCGCCCGAAATCAGGCTGAGACGGCACTGGAGGAAAACAGCGACACGAGAGCTGCCGGGCTCCCGGCGGCCAGAGCAAGTCGCTCTCGTCTTCTCTTCCCAGACTCCCTCTGCTCCGAGCTTGGCAGCTGCTGCTCCCCTCTTCTCCTCCTCTGTCTGGGCAGGTTCACTGCCCTCCGAGACGGGTGGACACCCTCCTGACCCCTCTCTGCATAGCCCCGGGGTGGGGGTGCCTCCCACGGCCCTAGGGACGTGCTGTCCCCGGGCACCTGGCTGGAACGGTGGCAGCGAGGCTGTGGGGAGGACACTCGGCAAGGAAGGGAAGGGAGCTCCAGCTCAGCTCCACGACCTGCAGCCTCTCCATCCCACCCGGCCCGGGCCCCTGAGCACCTTTTCCCAGAACTCTGAGTCAAGGATGGTGTTGAGGGACAAAGGAGGGTGTCAAGCCCTGGGAAGTGGCCCTTCCTCTTCCCCAGAAACCCCTCTCTTCCTCCTCCTCTGAAAAAATTAATTCACGAAAATGAACATTCCGAAAGCCGCACGTCAGCTGCAGCATCAGGGCCGAGCCCAGCCTGAGTTCCGACCCACCTCCCGGCCCAGCCCAGGACGGGACGGCCCTACAGGAAGGGCAGCAGGGAGGTCAGAGGCAGCTCCTCCTCCCCGAGCAGCGTGTCCCGTTTGAGGCTGCTGCCTTTGTTGACCACCTTGATCCTGAGGGCCAGCTTCCGGACACTGGCCGGCCCCAGGCCGTCGAAGAAGAAGTCCTCGTTGAAGACGGGGTTGCGGCTGTTCTTGATGATGGTGCTGCGCTGCTTCTGCAGCTTGCCGGGCACCAGGCACAGGCCCACGCAGCAGTTGATGCTGCGGGCGTCGCACAGGCGGTCGTACAGGCCCTCGGCGGCCAGTAGGCGCACCCGCAGGCGGGCCTGGGCCGCCTCGTACTCCGCCAGCAGCCGCACGCTGCCCCTGGGGCCCATCCGCACTGTGTGCTCCCCTCGGGGTGCCTGGCCGGACTCGGGGCCTGGCTCCGGGGTGGCCCGGCGAATCAGGCGGCGCCGGATCCCGGGGCTGGTGTCCGGCGTGCTGTCGTCAGCCGACAGGGAGCCGTGGCGGCCAACCGAGTGCTTGAGCTGGCTCACCTTGGCCTGGCTGTCCTGGGCAAAGCCCTTGAGCAGAGACACGGAGCGGGAGAGCAGAGGGGACCCGAAGGGGGAGGACTCGGCCGAGGACCCGGTGTCACTCTCCCCCCCACTAAAGTATCGGCTGGGGCTCATGAGAGCCCCCCCAGCCTCCCTAGACCCCCCGTCAGCCCCGTTGGCCTTGGCCCCGGCCCGACGGCGCCCGGTGCCTGGGGAGCCCACCTGGGCCAGGGCCCCATGCTCACTGTGGAACAGAGACTCCTTGCGACGCGTGTGGGGGCTCTCGGCCAGCGTGGCAAAGCCATAGGACGTCTGGGCCTTGGGCACCGAGGGCAGAGACATGGCGCCCTGGGCCTGGGGGTCAGCGTTGGTGGCCTCCTCGGCCGGCCAGTCCTCCGCGCTCTCTATCTGGATCACGTGCCGGGTGGCTGCCTTCAGCAGGTTCTTGCTCTCGGCTGCCAGCTTGGCCGGCAGCCGGGGGCTCCGGGGGGCACGGCAGGGCGCGGCCGAGGCCAGGTTCTGTTCTGACGTGGACGGGCCCAGCGTGGCCTGTGCCTCAGCCTCCGTGGGGCCCAAGGGCAGCTTGGGGGGGATGAAAAAGTCGGGGATCTTGTCGGGTGTCAGCACGTTGCTGTACAGGGGCCCTTTGGAGGCCTTGTCCCCCGACTCGCCCCCCACGCCTCGGGTGGCACCGTTTTCCCCGGTCCCCCGAAGCCGCTCCAAGAACCACATGTTGGTTTTCCTCATGGGGGCGGCAGGCGAGAGGCCAGGAAGGGCTGCAGCGTCTGGGAAGAGAAGCAGGGGGTCAGGGGCCCTGGGGCCCGGCTGCTGGGTGAGGGAAGCCCTGGCCAGTACCCTGGCCAGCAGGGGCTCGGTGGGGCCCGGGACAGGGGCGGGGCAGGATCACCCATCCCCTTCCTGGAGAGATGGCACTGAACTTCTGAGCACCCAGCCAGGGAGGCAGGAGTGCCGGTGCTCTCACTCCTAGGGGAGCTCCCGGGGGAGGAGGGCCCTGTCCCGCCCCCCCAGTCCGGTTTTGAGGATCTCGCTTCCCAAAGGGTTCCCCGCTCAGTCCCAAGGGAGGACTCTGGGGTGTGGGTGGGCCCCCAGGGCTTCCCAGCTCCGCCCCCCAAGCTCCCACCCACCTGTGGCTTTCCCTGGCCGGGGACCAGGCATTCAGGTGGGGGAGGGAGGGGCACCGAGTCTGGGGGCTGGCAGCTGGCGAGCTGACCCCCCCACACCCCCCACGGACTCGGCTCGGGTGGGGGTGGGGTCCCCGCAGCCCCCGCGAACGGGGCGGGTCCCCGGACTCACCCGCCGGGGCGACGGCCCAAGGCTGCGGGCGCTCCCGCGGGCGCAGGGGTCCGGGCGCGGGGCTGGCGCGGGGCTGGCGCGGGGCGGCCGGCTTCCGACGCGGCGGCGGCAGCGCAGTCGGACTCATTCACCCGCGGCCGCGGGAAGCCGCCCAGCGCCGCCGCCGCCGCCGTATTCCTCCTAGTACGGCCGCGCGCTCCGCCCCGGCCGGGGCGTCGCCGGAGGCTCGCGGGCCGGGCGGCGGGGCACGGCCAAGCGGCGTCGCGGGTGCGGGCCAGGCCTGGCGCGGCCCCCGCCGACCCCTGCCTGGCGCCCGGGAGCAGGGCTGCAGCCCCCTTGCTGCCGGCCCCTTCTCGGAGGCCCCTTTCGCGACCCACGAAGCAGAATAAACAGTCGCGGCGATAGTAAGCGCAGCTGGGTTTACTGCCCAGGTTCCTCCCTGCGCGCCTCTGACTCTAGGACCCTACGACCCCACCGGGCAGGCGGGCAGGGCCCAGTGACACCCCATCTGTGGCTGAGGAAGGTGAGGGCCACCCAGCCAGGCGCGTGCAGTGGACGTCCTCTCAGCAGAGCCCCCAGGAAGCTGCTCCTTGAAGGAGGGGCTGCTCCTTCATTCCGGGACCACATTCACTGAGCGTCCACTGGGCGCTGAGGGCCCCGGAGAGGAAGGGACGCAACCCCGCCCTGGCAATGCCCACAGGGACACAGGGACATCACGCAACTGTAGTCATGGGGCTCCCAGGACAGAAATACAAGACACGTGATGGGGGGCAAGGGAGAGGGCCCTCCACGCAATCCACAGATGGGGAAACAAGACAGCCCGGGCCCAGGCCCCTGCAGCTCCTGAGACCGCAGGGTCCCTCCGGAGCTGGAGCCCTGCTCCTGCCCCTGCGGGAGGCCCAGCCCTGGCTGCATCCTGGATGTCACCCTCCCTCCAGCCTGCCCTCTCTCCTGGAGCTCAAGGCCGGGCAGTCCCCGTCCAGTCTCGGCTCGTGAGGAGCCAGCAAGATGACATGTCACCAGGACCAACCCGGGCGGCGGACGCCTGGCGCTTTATTAAATTATCGATTGTCCAGGAGCCTCCCACGTTCCGGAAACGTCCCCAAGTCATTGAGATGGGGGCTGGGATGAGTGAGTGCTGGCGCTGCTGCAGAGGAGGGGTGCAGGCAGGTGTGGGGGAGCCAGGCCAGCCTTGGAGCAGGGGGCAGGGTCCTATCAGCCAGAGGGGGAGCATGGCTCAGAGCAGCTGTGACTCCCCCAGGAGCCGTCTCAGCTTTGTCCACTGAGCAAACTCAGCCCCCGCTTCGTGCCGGGCAGCCGCAGTGCAGCCCACAGTCCCACAGGGGAGGCAGACCGAGGGACCCCCTGCTTGCTGCCCCAGGGCCCCTGGGCAGGCCTAAGCCCCAACCTCAGCTGTGTGACGAATGCTGGTGTCCCCTCCCTTGCTGGGCCTCGAGCCTTGGAGAGGAAGGGTCATGGAGGTCTTGTCCCTGCAGTGTTCCCAAGGCCCGAGTTGGGCAAGTTGGGAGCTCCAGTAAACCTTTGCCAGACAGACGGAGAGCACCACAATAGGAACGGTGACTCCTAGAACAGTGCTCTTGACTGCAGCAAGCAGCACGAGGCCTGAGGTGGAGGGGGAGCCCTGGGCCGCTGAGCTACCTTTCATCACTGTACAGTCAGAGACGGGCAGGCGCAGGGACGGAAGGATGGCTCTGGCTGTGGAGGGGCTGTGCCAGTTCTGATGAGCAGCCCAGCGGGTGTTGAGGTCCAGTCCCCACCACCCAGCCCGGCTGGGCACAGGCCCTCGCCCCCAGGTGGGGTGGGGAGGAGGCCCCAGGTGTGCATGCAGCGTTCGTGCTGAGCAATCAGACGCTCCTCTGGAGCTGCCCAGTGGGGCTGGAACCCTGGGCCAGCAGTCCCCGCCGTGTGACTGCAGGCAAACACCCAGGTCTCTTTGTGCCTCCAGCTCCTCATTGGTCCAGACAGAGACAGTCCCTGCATCCCAGCGTCCGCGTGAGAACGAAACAGGTTCCTGTCCGCAAAAGCACCTGCAGCCGGCCCTGCAGCCGGCGAGGTAAGTGTTGGTAAGGGGAAGGTCTCAGCTGGGAGGTGGGGGGGCACTTGCCAGCTTCGAAGTGAAGCCCAGAGCCAGAGCCCTGACCCCCACAGCCTAGCTCAGCCAGCCCTACCCCTGCCCCCAACCCCTATCACATTCGGGGGCTGGGGAAACTGAGGCCAGGAGGATAGTCCCCATCCTGGATGGGGCAGGGACAGGGAGGCCTGTCCTTCCAGCGGGTTGGCTCTTCTGCCTCCCTCTGCAGCAGCTCTGGTGACAGCCCCCCAAGACCACCCTGTACCCTGAACTGCAGCCCTCCTGGAATCAGAGACTGCGGAGGCTCGAACAGCAGGGGCCGGTGGTATGGACCGGAGCCCCTTCCAGCCTGAGTCGCACGCTTCATGCTGAGTGGCCTCATCCTCAGTCCCCCTCAGGTGGGGGCTCAGCAGGAGGGGTGGCTCCCAGGAGCTAGGCCTGGATCCTGGGCAGCCCCAGGTAACAGGCTTGCAGGAAGTACAAGGAGGTGGTTTAAAGCAAAAAGGGCCTTAAAGGGGACGACGGTCTGGGGTTGCAGCTCTGCCACCTCCTGGTGGTGTGGTCTTGGGCAAATTACTTCCTCTCTGTGAGCCTGTTTCCTTGCCTATAACACGGGGAGAATCTGAGCACCCTGTGTTCATTCAGGTCTTAGCCCACGTGCCAGCAGAGTGCCAGGTAAACGGGGGCTCCAAAGGGGACGGAGTATGGGGGGAGCCTGGGCCTTGGAGGACCCAGAGCTGTGAATCCATGAATGAATGAGGTGCACTGAGACACCTCTCTGGCCCAGAATTTCTGGAATCTGACACTTCTCCATACTCCCCTGACTGAGGGCCTCCCCTCAGCCCTCTCCATTCCTGGCCTGTCCCCAGCAGTATAATCTCATCTCACTGTGAATGCACACACATCACCCCTGTGGCCCTGCCAGCTCTCCCTGACACGGAACATCACCCCCTCTCTGCTCTGATCTCACCTGACCACACTGGGCCACTTCTGCTCCCTGAGTATGCTGGGTGCCACACACCACAGGGCCTTTGCACATGCCGTCTCCTCTGCCCAGAACTCTCCCCTCTTCACCTGGGGCCCATCCTTTGATTACTACAGCCCCTGTGTCATTCCCACAAAGAAACTCTCCCGGATTTCCTGGGATCTCTAAGCTCCAGCACTTGACTTTTCACAGCTGTCATACATTTAGTGGTGATTTGCTGACTAACACCACTTGACTGTTAACTCCACAACAGTAGGTCTGTCGTGGTCACTACTGTTGCATCCCAGCTGGCTGCTCACCAGAAGTCCTGGCAAATAAGAGGTGCCCAATACAGGCATCCTAAGGTGCTGGAGTGTGGGGGTGGGTGGATGGATGGATGGATAGATGAGTGGATGGATGGATAGATGGGTGGATGGATCAATGGATGGATAAATGGATGGATGGATAGATAGGTGGATGGATGGGTGGGTGGATGGATGAATGGATGGTTGGGTAGATGAATGAATGGATGGGTGGATGAGTGTATGCATGGATGGATGGGTGGATGGATGGATGTGTGGGTGGTTGGGTAGATGAATGACTGGATGGGTGGATGAATGGATGGATGGATGGATAGATGGATGGATGGATGGAAGGTTGGTAGATGGGTGAATTGATGGGTGAATGGATGGGTGAATGAGTGGATAGATGGATGAGTGGGTGAATGGATGAATAGATGGATGGATGGATGGGTGGGTGGCTCTCAGTCTCCATATCTCTGAAATAAGAGCCATGTCATCAAAGTCCCCTTCCAGCCCTGCCTTCTGAAGGCTCTGTCCTAGGTAAGGGCAGACCAGAGTAGTTCTACTCCCCACACCCTTTCCAGACATGTCCCGGGGGGGATGGGGAGGGCCGCTGACTGCAGACAACACCCCATCAGAGACCCAGCCCTGGGCACCCCTGCCCTCAGCCTGGGCAGAGGTGGCCAGCAGGACATGGCAGGCAGGGCCTCTTGGGCGAGATGTTGCCGTGTCTGTGGGTGGAGCTGGGAGGGTCCTGGGGAGAACAGGGGGCCTCTGGGAGGTAGAGGCCCAGAAGCAACATGAAGGCAGGTCTAAGGAATGGAAGTTGGGGGGCTTGCGAGGGAAGCGGGGCGTAGGGGGAAGTGGGGGCACTGAGCGATATCCCTATAAAGGAACGGGACGCGGGGAGACTGAGGAGCGGCACTCAGGGGCTGGATGGGGCATCCTAGGGAAGAAACAGGGAGCGTTTGTCAGATTCAATGGGTGTCTGGGAAGGGCGGCCTGTGCACTCGGGACATGAACGAGGGCGTCTCCGGGGCGGGGCTGGGATGTGATTAGCAGGGGTCGGACAGCGGTGTCTGAGCGAGGTGGGGCTCTGGGCAGAGGGGCCCCACTCCCCGCCCAGCACAGGCACCCCTCCCTCTCCGCGCCCAGGCCCCCAGGGGGGCCGAAGCAGGGTCCCGCAAGCCCCTCCTGGGAGACTCATCCCGGCCCCCAGCCCTGCGAGGGCCCCCGAGTATGCAGCTGGGCTCACGCTCCTGTGGTCACTCCCAAGTTTAATTACAAACAGATTCGAATGTCCGGTCCAGGTCAGCAGCTGGGGGCACAGCCCGGGTGGGCAGCCACGTCCTTCCTCCTGCTCACGGCTGCCCTCGTGTCAGCTGTCCTGAGCGGCCCAGCTGCCCCGTCATCCTGGGCGAGCCCAAGGCTGCCCCACCCCGGAGTCTGCCCTGACCTGAGAGCCCCAAAGCACCTTAGTTCTCCCCCCAGAAAGACAACTGTGCAGCCAGTTTCTCGGGTGGGAAAAGTAAGCCCAGCCGGGATAGGGACTGGTTTCCACAGCG